CCTCTCCTTAGAAAGGACTCTAATGTTCACATTTATGGCCTGGTAGTATGTCCACGAACCTCTATTGCTGGCTAGAGATCTCTCTCTCTCTTGAACCTCCAGACCATTCTTACATGTGTTGCAGTCTCTCTCTACTTAACGCAATCAGCTACCTCTTCTTTCTCTACCATTCTCCTTCCTATCAATACTGTTGCATGCTAGATGGTATTTCTGATAATATAGACAAGGCCATCCTCCTACACCGGTTTGCAAATATATTTGTGCTCGATGACTTTAATGCCCACCATACCATGTAGCTTAAACACTCTGTTACTGACCTCACTAGCAGACAAACCCTTAACTTCTCAATCTCTCACGCAAGTTTCCACAGTAACCCTGATGAATACGCTTCCCTTCTCGATCTCTTTTTTACCTCTATCCCTGATTCTTGTTGTACTACGCAAGTCTGTCCCCTTAGCAACTCTGATCATGAGGTTTTGTCTGTAAATATCTCCTTCCACTCCCCCACCAGCCAAGAGCCTCTAACCAACAAAATATCTTTCTATTATCAACAAGAAGATTGGGACTCGTTCTGGGATTTGGGTTTGAGCGGACGTTACAAAGGAAAAGGTTAAGGTTACTCTAGAGAACCTTACAGCCCCTCCAATTATCACTCTATTAGTCTCCTATGCTATCAGGCAAAGTATTCAAGGTTTTAATCAAAACTGAAGTGATCAATTATCTTACCTTTTTTGACCTACTCTTTGACAAGCAATATGGCTTCCATTTTGCCCAGTCTACTGCTGATGTGCTTATGGCCATCACTGAATATGTATATCAAGCTCTTGATAATAACGGCAAAGCTCGGTCTGTAGCTCTAGATATCTTCAAGGCATTTGACAGTGTTTGGCATGCTGATCTTCTATGTAAGCTTCGGGGCTACAGTATTACAGGATGTTTGTTTGATTTAATTAAGTCGTCCCTATCAAATCAGGAAATGAAGGTCGTTCTGAATGGGCTTGCTTCTAGATCTTTTCACACAAACACAGATATACCTCAAGACTCTATACTTGGTCCTACGCAATGATCTTCTTGATGTCATCTGTTCCCAAGTAGATATCTATTCAGATGACACTACCATTTAATCCTGTCAAATCGGTCAGAGCTGACAAAGTTACCCTGGCCGCTGCTCCTGAAAAAGAACTCCAATCAGTGGTTAATTGGGGCAGAAAATGGCTTGTAAATTTTAATGCCTCCAAAACTAAACTGCTCTTATTTAACCACCATATAGAAACTGATGCTTGACTCTTGGAAAGCATTCATTGCGCTTTCTTGGCCTCGCATTTTCAAATAACTTGAAGTGGAACAACTACATTGAATCAATAGCTGCATCTAACGCAAGGAATGTTGGTTCATTCTTTTGTGCCAGAAGGTTTTTCTCATCAGAGGCCATCTTGCAAATTTACAAATCTACCATTCATCCATGCATTGAATACTGTTGAAATATTTGGTCACGTGCTGCTGTTATTCATCTCAAAATATTTGACAAAATCCAAAGAAGGATCTGTTATATAATAGATCCCGATTTGGCATCCTGACTTCAGTCACTTTCTCACCAACGTGACATGGCTTCCTGCTGTATTTTCTACAAATATTTTCATGGCCACTGTTCTGATGAACTTTTTTCCCCTGATGTACCTACTACATGAATTTAAGCTTGCTACTAGACTGGCATATAGATCCCACCCTTTTACTGTTGAAACAGTTAAACGTAACCACTACTTCTACTCTAACAGTTTCTTTTCTCACACTTCCTAACAGTGGAATATATATATATATATATATATATATATATATATATAATTAATGTGAGTAAAATCTGATGTTACATTCATTATAGAAGGAAACTCCTACACTTTTCAAAACCCCACAACAACATTCAAAATAAATAAAAATTTAAACTGCAACTCCAAAAATGTGATTTATGTACTCAAATGCACAAAATGCAACAAGCCATATATAGGTATTAACCAAGCACTAAACAACAGAGTTCCCCTTCACAAGTGTAACATCAAATTACCAGACAACAGAAAACTCTTTGTATCACAACACATTTACAAATGTAATCAAGATAAATTTAAAATTATGCCAATATATCAAACAGATAATTATTCTTACCTACAAATACAATAAAAAAAAAATTTCATAAACAAATTTAAACCAGCATTAAACAGATCATAATCCCACACACATAAACACACAGCATGCACATATAATGGCCAAATACACTGGTCAAACGACACACACACACACAATTATCTATGGAGAACAAATATATATATATATATATATATATATATATATATATATATTATATATATATATATATATATACTGACAAAAGCAAACACAATAGGCTACTCATACACACACACAAACCCTACATAACATAGGAAGTGTATGTATATATGTGTGTATATATGATTCTTTATAATAAGATGGTATATATATATATATGGAGAAGGAATATGCATGCACATACTGGCAAAAACACACACAATGCACAAAAATGGAAATAGATCTAAGAAGATACAGGGGCCATAAAAAGATAAGAATGAAGACATCCTTCCTTTGCCCTTTCTCTGGCCAATCCTAATCATTTTATTATCCCTTAAGCAGAAGAACACTTTTGCCACCACAGTCCAGGAAGAAACATTTGGGTTACTACTGCACAAAAAAGACAATGGTTAAACATCGAAAAACATAAGGAAAATTAATTCCTTTTAATAATATATGGAAATATCCACTCTTTGCTTGATGAAGGTTGTGAGACCAGAAACGCATGTAGCAAAAATATAGAAAATAAAGTATAATATATATTTTAAAAAATCCACATTATAACCAAAAACGTTTGCAGTTTCTCTCTTTTTAAAATATACACTTTTTCTCGTTGGAATAATTATAACCCCCTCTATTATTACACACACACACACACGCACATATATATATATATATATATATATATATATAAAGAGAAAGAACAGATTAAGAATCCACTGTTCGTAGCATTTACTTTTTTTTCTTTTTTTTTTTTAAAAAGTGCTCAATACAACATAGAGCAAAATATTATGATAATATTTTTATTATAAAATATTTTGCATCGCTACACAAAAATTTCTATGTTTCGGAACTAAAGATTGTTGCTCATCAGGCGATGAAAATGATTTACTTGGGAAATCAGAAAACACTTCAGTAGCTCATTTGAGAGTTAAAAAGAAGGGTGGAAAACCAAGATTTCAAAATTAAAAACACGTTTGTTGGTATGACTTGATTAACCAATCAAAAGACAGATCAAAGCTGAACTAGAAAAATGATGTTAGAATTTTACGGGTAGGTGGGGTTAATTCAAGTCTAGATAAATTGACACTTTTTCGGCATGTCAGCTCAGACAACAACTGGTTACAAATATAAATTTAAGATACAGTGAAGTAGACAGAGAGATAAGGACCTAAGGTTAATTTTAAGGGAAAAAAAAGATTAAAAATAATGGAAGTCCTAACAATAAAAAAGAAAAAGCCAACACTCAATCAATAACATTAACTATGAACATAGCCACAATGTGCTAACAATGTTTTGAAAATAAAACATCCCTATACCCTAACCCCAACACATACACCCAGTTAAAAAGTAAAATAAAATCACCCTTGATAATGGCTAAAACTAAAAAGTATAGACAAAAGCGCTAAAAATGCAGAATATTTGGACAGTTTTTTTTTTACACACTTTGTGTCCAGAAAAGAAAACTCTTGTATGAACACAAGAAAAATTAAATAAAAAGCAAAAGCTTAATCGCAGTACTTAGTCGTCTTTAAGGAAACGAGAGAGAGAGAGAGAGAGAGAGAGAGAGAGAGAGTATTTTACTCTTGGAAATCTGATCGCTTTCCTGGGGAAATAATCAATGGATCATTAAAGTTGTCAGTTTCTAATTATATATATATATATATATATATATATATATATATATATATATATATATATAAATGTATGTATGTATGTGTGTGTGTGTGTGTGTGTACCGTAATGATTGTATAAAGATAAACATTACCTTTTCTCACGTATATTTTCAATTCTTTTATTTATTTATTTATTTATTGTATATTATCTTCTAAATTGAATTACACATAAAATCTTATTTAAAAATTTAGGATTTATGGGTAAATAAACAGCTTTAAAAAGAATTCGAAGCCGGAAAATCTTTTTAGTTTCTTGAAATATGGTATATCCCGGAAACTGATTGGCCGTCAAATGTAGTTAAGACAAGTCAGCATTGCTAGTTGCATTTAAAGAAGTTAACTGGAAGTAGCAGGTGCGTATTTTTCTGCTACAATCGTTACATAAAATTTGGCATCATTTTCAATTCATTTTTTCTTGACAATTACTTAAAATAATCATCAGGTAAGTCAATGATTAATTTTCCCTGGTCGATATTTGAAAACATAAAAAAAAACAAGTCATCTGTGACGAAAAGATAAACAGTAAAACTTGAGAAGCATGTGGTGATAGTAAATAGTTGGATCCATTGCAACAACATCAAATCGATGAAGAAAGCGTTAGCAGTTTATTTTTATGGATGAAGAAATGTAGTAAAATAAATGAATTAGAAAACTCGTTTCCATTAATTTCGTAGGTATTTTCGTGCATTTTGTGCACAAACTCTTAGTGTAAGGTTCATCAGTTTTTAACTGTACAGTGATTCTAACATTACACCTTGTTATATAGATTTATGAAATACTCTTTTTTTTTTCTTTTTTTTTTTTTAAATAGAGATACGAAAATGACAATTTTTTTTTTCGATTTGTTAATCGGAAATTTTTTGTATATTCCTTCTTTTTTACATGTTTATCGGCTTGAGTAATTCTGTTCAATAAACAATTTAAATTTTGAATTTAACAGTTTTGAATATAAAATTTAGAATTTGGTTTCTATTAAATTTCTTTCTCGCTGATTGTATAATGTTCGAGCATCCGTACTAAAAAAAGAAAAACTTCAACATGATCACGTTTTCATTAAGTTTTTATGCCCAAAGCTATCATCAAAGAAGAGTTCATCACTGCCAAATATAGTAAGTTCGTTTTTATTTACTTGTTCGTACTGTTTAATATTTTATAAGTTCTGATTTAAATATTCCTACATTTATTTTACCTTTTTTTTAATCTCATCGACTTTTTAGAGTTTTAAAAAATCTTTTCGTGCTAAAAAAACATTTCAACTTCAAAAATCAAAACCCTCTTCTTATTTCTTTTAAACTCCGGCTATCACTTTTTATGTTTCTCTATTTCTAATATTTTCTATAACAATCATCTCCATCTCTTCTAATTAAATCAGTTCTTCAAAACAAAATTTTAAAAGGGCAATTCTAGTTCAGTAATTTTTTTAAAACTGATTTCCGCCCTTCTACCAATTTTAAAGAAAGATATCTCGTCCGTGAAGGAAAATTAAGCTCAGTTAATTGAGTTACTAACAAATTTACAAGTTACTATTGTTCTCTAAATAAATGTTTTATTGATCTTTCTTTTTTTTTTTTTTGTGTTGTTTTTTTTTTCTTTTCTTTCTTTCTCTTACTAATGATGCGTGTCCCACCAAAAATGACCATATGTTTCATTTAGTTTCACCTATTTTGTGTTATTTACTTTTTAGTTTTTTTTGCATATACGTTCTGATTTTTTTTTTTTTTATTTAAAAAAAAAAAAAAAATAGTTTGACTTTTGGGGATTTACTTACTTAATCTTCTTAACTATTATGAAAAAGCCACTTTTCTGTCTGACATTTTACCGAGCCTCATATTGGAAATAAACTTTTTTTTTTTTTAAACACATACAAGAAATTTGAAAAGATAAAAATTAAAAAAGAAATTGATTTTTTTTAATTAATTTCAACGTGACAACTCCGAATCATTATTGAGAGGAAATTTATTTCCCACCAAACGAAAACGTAATATTTTTTATTTTTGGTCTAAAGTGCTTGTTTTCAGTACAACTTATGGGCATGTAATTATTTCTTTTTCTTCTTTCATTTCAAAATTTTACTATTATTTTTACAGCCTAAAAATAAAGGTGAATTTGCTTTTTAAGCCCCGCGCTAAATATCAAAATTTTCCAAAATAAAGACTAAAAAAACAGTAAAAATATCTTGAACTCTGTTAATAATTAGTTTTATTTTCGTTAGTAAAGAAAGAATATTTATTTTATTTATTTTATTTTTTTTTTAAAATGCCGTTCATTTAATTACCCGCCACTTCATGTGACTCAGCAAATTTGGATTTAATTTGATTTTCCAAAAAAAATTTCTTGAGAAAACACTGGACATGTCAGAAATGGAAATACTTTTTTCACAGATAGTTTTATTTTTTATTTATGGTAAAAAAACTTAAACTGTTTTGTTGCCTAAGTAAAAAAAAATAAATAAATAATGTTTACTTTTTCTAAGAATATAAAAGAAAAATAGGATTTTTGAAGAGGCTGAAATTTTTGCTAAGTTTTACATTTTGGCCAAATTTTAAAATGAATTAAGTTTCACTTTGTTTCTTTCACAGAAATTACCCCCCAAAATAAATTTATATGCGGCAGAAAAAAAAAGACAATCTCTCTTAAATCTACAAGTACTTTGCTATTCGTGTCTCTGTCTGTCTCTTAACCCCCCAAACGGTGTCGCTATTTGTCCATATAAAACCTGCTTGTTAGATTTCTGGAAAGTTTTCAGCCTGGCTAAAAACTCTTCCAATGAAAGTTAAAAAAAAAAATTCAAAGTTTATTAGTCAGATTTCTGGAATTGAATCAAGCAAGTCGAAAAAAAACTTTTCACTTTTTCAGCATCCCTTCAGAGGTGCTTCTAATTAAAATTTTATTAATATTTTTTCTTTTATTTTTAAAAGGACACTGCTTAGTGCTTAAGCGTTTGCTTTGTTATCAAATTTTGAAAGTTAAGTTTTTACATTTTAAACAATTACCTCAATTCTTTTTTTCTTTTTTTTTTTTCTTTTTTTTAAAAAAAACTTTCCTCATTCTTACCCTCTTCTTCTCATCTTCTGGTTTTGAACCCCTCTTCGATAACCTCTTGTAAAATTCCTAGACAATGTCGATCCCACCCAATGGGCCAAAAAAACTGAAGTATAGAAAATTTGTGGCAACGTTGCAAAAAGAAGTTATGAAAACAAAGTAGTTGCTAGCCAATTTAATTTATTTATTTTATTTTTCAACATAAGTGAAGAAAAAAAAAAAGTTCCCAGAAGTCATGAAGAAGATCTGAACTTTTCTCCTGAAATTATTTCCCATAGCAATTGAATTATCCGTGCATTTTTCCACATAACTTAAATTTCCTCTTTTATTTACGAAGGGAAACAGTAAAAAAAAAATAAACAAAATTCCACTTTTTGTTTAATTTCTGGTACATGTTTATGTTGTGGGTCCATTGTGGAACGTCGCTAATTAAGAAGTTTGTGCGTGCTGTCATGACAAATCCGTGTTCAACGTCACCAAAAAATGTAATTAGGAAAAAAAGTAAACAATTAAAAAAAATAATACTACTTTTATTTAAATATGAATCTATATTCCATTTAAGTTAACAGTTAGTCTCTTTTTTTTTCCCATAGTAACAAAAAAACTGCATTCGTTTTAATTTTTTCTTTTTTTTTTTTTTTTTTTTTTGAAACTAAACAGGACCTCCCTCTACCTGCTTAGCTTTATCATAAAATAAAACTAAGACATTATTTAATTAAAAGCTTTTAATTACTTTATGAATAAGATATGGACACTATTATTGCCACATTATTGTTCGTGTTGACTTTAAGAAAAACATTTTCTTTTTTCTTTTATGAATAAGTAAAAACTAAATGAAAAGCTTACTACAATTAAGAAAATAACAGTGAAAACTGTACTAAAATTAAAATTTACTTTTTCAGCATGCATCCTTATAATGCCAAAGTACCTAAAATTCAATAAAATAATAGATTAATATTTTCATAAATTTTTAAGATTACTAGGTAGTTAAAAAAAATATTATGTAAAAAAAAAAAAAAAAGCCTTCACATATTCAAGTAATTTTTACAGTTGAGTACCCTTTACTTGAATTTCCAAACAAAGCTCTCAATAAATCTGTCAACACCTCTATTAAAACAAAAATAAATACTTAATTTTGTCTGATGATTAAGGTAATATTTCTGACATGGACATTTTAAAGTTATCTTGTAAATGCTTTTTAATAATTTTATTTTGATACTACATTAGAAGTTTTTCAAAAGAAAAACTTTTTTTTTTTTTTTTTTTTTTTCAATTATTTGGAATTTAAATGTTATTGAAATATATTACTCTTGTTTTCTGATAGGGAAAAGTAGACAATCAAAGGAGATAATTCAGAATTCTTTTTAAAACTTCCATACAAAAATAACATGCCAAAATGAAGAAAAATCTTAATTTTAACAAAAAAAACGTTCACACTCAGAACTGGCATTAAACTTTATATTTTTCTTTATTTAAGTAAATCTTTAAAGAAAAATATTCAGTTTAGTGTTTTTTTTTTGTTTTTTTTTCAATCTGAAAGAAAATGAGGTTTTATTAAATTATGCAAACTCATCAATTATTTTTGAATTTTTTTTTTAATGGCATTATTATTTTTGGGAAGGTTTGGGACTTGATGTTGCATAATTTTTTTACTGAAACATCTTCATGGATTTATCTTTATACCTAAAACAAATTTGAATATGCACACACACCCACCCACCAATTAAAAAGTACATGCCAATAACTAATGGCTTATTACATTGGTGACAATATGACATGGCAAGTCTCCTCCTCGATACTTCAGCTATTTTGCTGCTCCATGGGCTTTCCGGTTCTTCAAGGCACTTTGAGACAATTCTAGGTGTTCCAACAATAATAGGCACAACTGTTTCATTTTCCAACATTTCTTCTGTGGTTTATATTTATCCAGTTCATGGCAATCTATATACAAAGTAAAAAAGGAAACAATTCAGTTTTTACTTTGTTTTATTCTTCTGCTTGGACAGCAAAACCCACTTTCAAACAATATTTATTCTTAGGATAATTAAATCTATTTTTAGCTTTTCTTTGGTTGTCCATTAAATTCTCAGGTGCTTCTTGTCTCTCTTTTTATTCTCTAAAGACTGATTCTAATTTGTGACTATACCATTGACTTGGAGTAAAAGATTTTCTTTCCTGTCGTTGCTTTTGTCAACTTTTCAGTTTGGTGTGTCGGGTGGGGTGACAAAACCTATTTAAAATTGACAAGGACTTTACACACTGGAAGGGTGGGAGACAAAGTTTTTGAAAAAAAAGAGATTGTCTATTACCACTTTATCATTTTGTCTGGCTAATGCTCACTCACTCACACACTGGGTGCGACGAATAAATTGTCTAAATGACGCAGAAATTAAAATAAGACATCTCATTTTAACAGATATATTTACCAAAATTGCACAAAAATATCTTGAAATACTAAAGAGTAAATTTAGGTACCTTCATGAGATCGTTAAAAAGAGTATAGCATGAAGAAAGACGCCAAATTTGACAAAAACAAAACTTTATCATGTAAATGTTTGTTATTAAAGAGGAAAGATCAAAGTATTTTTGGTATTTTTTTTTTTTTTACATTTTTTAATCATTCCTAGCATGTCCATAATTTTCATTAAAAATCTCTTTAATCAGCAAAATTGACACACAATCAATCATGGCAACCACTTTTTTTCCATTTTTATAAAAAAAACGAAAGTCTCAGTTTGAAATTCTTTTAAAAATCATAATTTTTTCAAAACTTATTTTAAGAATCAAGAATTATAATGTTTATTTAAAATATTTTGAAACGAGCTTAACATAGCTTCTGCATTGAAGAGATGTAGTTTGAAGATAAAACAAAGCAGGTTATAACATTTCACGTCACTTGACAGGTGATGAAAGACATTTTCATGACATTGATAGCTTATGTGAGGATAATTCCTTCTATGGAAGAAGAGAAATGAAATTATTTAGATTTAAGTGAACAAATTATTTACCTCGTTATTTTTAAGGAAAACTTTCAGCGCTCTAATTTTTTTTTTTTTTTTTTTTTTTT